GCTGTTGCTCATCCGGTAGGCGGTGGGGACACTTCTTTCTTCCCTCCGTCTCTCGGGAGAGTGAGCTCTTCTGCGAGGGGACCGTGATCGCGACCTGGGAGAGGGAGACAGGGGTTTCAGTCCCGCTGGCCAGACGACACCTCCACTGCTGAGGCCGTCAGTCCTTGGCCAACTGTGCGGGGTGACAGGCGCCCATCTGTCCCGCCACAGAGGCAGATGCGCTCCCCCCATTCCAGAGCACCTACCACACAACACCAAACCAGAACCGGCATGCGACCCACTCTGAGGCTGGGCTCTGTGTCGCTGGCCACGCGGCCACAGCAACCAACTCTCCATGACACGGGGTCTGACCCCGCACGCGGCTGGTGGCTACGCCCGGCCCACGGCTTCCCTCTGGCCTCTCGCCTCTGCCTTCACGTCCCTGGTGCCCTTGCCGACTTCCGGGGAGGGAAGGCGACAGGGCCCGAGCCCGCGTCCGTGCTCTGACGGCTGCCAGTGGGAAGGAGCCGAGCGTGCAGGCTTGAGGGTGACATCTCTTGCTCGCAGGGACCTCGTGGCCTCTGAGCACAAAGCGTGGAGAACAGGCTGCAGGTCTGTGGGCATGAAGCCTAAGCCTTCGGGTCGATTCCGACACACTGTTCTCATCATAATTTAGGAGAAACAACTTAAGTTGATGACATTTCTTGGATGCAAAACCACCCATAATATTTTATTCTTCCTTTTCACATGCCTGAAGAAAGACTCATCCTGTTCCTGCAGTGACATAATCCACATGTGACAATCAAGCTGCAGGGACAGTCGGTGCCAGGGCTCTGACGCGGGACCCCCACCCCGGGGGTGCGGTCTGGAACGGAGCTCCCTCAACCACGGGTTTGGGGCTCTTCTTTTAGCCTTTGCTCATTCAGTGAAATTGCTGTTTTGGGAAGACTTTTGATAAACAGAAATCTAAAAAAAGCCCAATTTCTTTTTGTTCTGTTTCTATGACAACCCACTCAAAAACAAAATAAAGAGCAGTTTGATTCTGCCGTTAAAAAATTCTACATTGAATCATTTTAATTACAATAAAATGAAAAACAACACACGCTGTTGTTGCAGAGATCAGTTTGTCATCACGGTTCACTCTCTTGTGTCACAGAGAAAACCCGGAGTCATTCCCGGAAAAATGTCACAGCCACGGAATGAACCTGCCCCAGGATAAAGTGCCACCGGCCTCGGGGTCTTCCCTAGCGTAGCTGCTCCATAGCTTATCACACGGCTGCATTTCCCCCGACCTTCCCTGAGATTCGATAACGGTGACAAGGGCGAGGCCTGTCAGACACCTCCACGACGTCCCAGGTTTTCCCTCAAAAGAGCTCCAGGAGTTAGACCTGGTGGTGGGAAGCTCTGACAGGGCTCCGTGCTCAGTGTCCCCAGGGTGGCCACGGGGCTGTGACAGGGGGCACACGTGTCACATTCAGAATGAAATGTGCCGGGCTGGGTGCTGCTCGGACCCAAAGGGGGCCGCTTAGCTGCAGCACCCGGCACGCACGCTTCAGCCCGGAGCTCACGACGCACTCTACGCGCAGGAAAAACAAGGCGGTTTTCAATGGCTGCTAATTCATAACTTCGCATCACAATGCCATTTGCCAGTGGCTGTTAACATTAGATTTTTTTAAAGTGAAGTGACTGCTACCGGATGTCAAGTTATCTGGGAAAAAAGCCCATCTTGGAATCGGGGCAGGAAACTGTAGCAGGTAACACGTCGTCTTATTTTAATTAAAGAAACTCTAATGTTTTTATTCTGCTAATTAGGCTCTTAACATCGCCACATAACAGCGCAGGAAATGGGAGTCCCATTTTGTCAGCAAATCGTCTGCGCACGTGACCGGAGGTCCTCTTAGAAGGCACGATGGTCTGAATTAGAACGTTCAAGCACAGTGCGACGGAGGAATTTTTGCTTGAATTACCCTGACGGTTCCCTTTCAAACAAGGGCCCACTGAGAGCTGTCCTCTGAGCGACAGGGACCCTGAAACAGCCTCTCTCACCACAGGTCCTCGGCGCACTCCTGCGGGCCGGGCCCCCTGCTCCTGAAGAGCAGAGGGAGGAGGTGTGGAGCTCTGGCGTTGGAGGGACACCCCTAGCCCCACACGGCGGCCTGGGGTGAGCGTGGCCACAGCCTCGCCCTCCTCACAGCTGACTCGGCGTCTATGGCACTTGCTCAAGACTGGACATTAAAGCGAAGCCTGTTTTCCAAACCAGAGACGGTGCGAGTGGCCTTCAGGTTACCAGCCCCCGACGGGGCTCACGAGTGAACTACCCCTCCTTGTTTGAGCCGCGTAATAAAGGACAAGTGGGGAGAAGTTCCGGGCATGTTACTACCCAGACGGCCTCACAGGCCGTTGTTTATTTCCGCTGTGTAATGTCATGAGGAGTCTCTCCAACTGAGAAACTTTCAATATTCGGAGAAGCAGGTACGTCTGAGCCAGTTTGCTTAAACATAAAAGGCACAGGGCATCCGCTTCCGCCCCTCGGGGAGGAACGAGCCACTCCGGTTCCAGAAGCCAAGCTGGGCCGAGAGGCAGGAGCTGCACTGGGAGCGGGTGGAGCGGCTGCCCCCCCACCCCCGTGGGGATCAAAGACAGGACGCAGTCTCACTACCAGAGCGCTGCTTTTCTGCACCTCCCCAAGCCAGCTGCAAACAAGCAAAACGCGTTTTGCAAGGAGCGAGTTCTGGGGCTTAAAGGTTTCCAGTTTATGATTTCTGTGGCGGGAACGCTGAGTGCCTTCTCCAAGCCTGGCTCTTCGGAAGGTGGCTCTTGGCCAACAGCGACTCTCAGCCGGCCTGGAGGCAAACGCGGGGAGGAAGCAGGGGATCCGCCGGGTGTCCCTCCTCCCAGCATGGGGGTGCAGGCTGACGCCAAGTGGCCGAGGCTGCTGCTGTTCTGACAGTCACAGCTCAGAGGCATGAAGGCAGGAAAGTCCACTCACCCAAACCCAACAAAGGACCCCCACCCTGAGGATTTTTCACACATTCAGCGAATGCGAATGTGCTGGGCTTGCTCCCAAGACCTGTTAAAATTTAAACAAGTCTATTTTTAAAAAGTCTGGCAGTGCCCATGAGCTTTAGAGAGGTAAGTAAAATGTAAAAAATACTTTGAAGAGCTGTCGCTTGGGCCGAAAGGATGCATCTCTGTGCACACGCATGTGCACACACACATGCACACACGCCCTGCATCACACATGGACCCCCACATACGTGCTCACACACCCTCACATGCGCACGCACAGCGCGCGTGGGGGGGGCTGCACCATGCACCCACCTGGAGCGCCGTGCCGTCCGGTAGGCGCTGGGGAGGCAGTGCTTCGCCTTCGGGTGGGACCTCGACCGGGACTTGGACGACGAGTGGCACTTGGGGGACCGCGACCTGGTCCGAGACCGCTTTCTGTGCTTCTTCTTCTTCTTCTCCTTCTCCTGCTCCCTGGGTGGGTCCCTGCTTTGGCCCGAGGGCCCTTCCAGGGGCTTGAGCTCTGAGGTCGGCAGAGGCCGGCCTCCACCCGGCACAGGACAGGCCACGGCGCTGGCTTCCTGGGGACAGAACCGAACATCTGGTGTTAACAGAGAAAATAGGACATTTAAAAATGGAAGTCCACAGAACTTCAACTTTGGGGCCCTCACACCCATGACGTGCCAGTGTATCCTAGGGGGACTCTGGCACCTCAGGGACCCATGGGTCCCTTTCCTGCCTTTCCTGGTCTCCAGGGTGGCTGGGTGTCAGGAGAGCCACACTCGCTCCTTCATAAGTGACTGGCTTTCCAGTGCAGAGGGGTTCTTCAAACCTCCAGCACCTGGATCTTACGAACGTCTGCACCACCCTAAAAATAATTTCTGAAGAAGGCTGAAACGAAAGAGGTTCCTGTTTGACGTTTAAAAAACTATCACGAGAGGAAAAACCTTCCTTCCTTCCTTGCATTTGTGTGAGGTGATGGGTGTTAACTAAACTTGCTGTGAGAACCGCCTCGCAATCACATACGTAAGCCCACTTATTACTCTGCAGGCCTCAAACACACACAGAGCTGGAGACTCCCTCGGTGAGGCCGCAGGAGAATCAGCGAGGCCGACGACGGGCCCTGAACCACGTGCCCGCGCCAGCTCCGTCGGGCTCACTCTGCGTTATCGAGCCAGCACGGCGCTGCACTTGAACTCTCGTCCACCCCGAAAACCTCGTCGCCGCGATGCACACGCAGAGAAGCGCCGACGTTAAACGTGCTGCCCACGGAGTTCTCAAAGCTGCGACACTGCCACCCTCGGCCGTGTGCGGCGCCCAGAGTAACCCCATTTCTAGAAATTCATCCTGAAGAGATGTTCGCCTAAGTGTGTGACACGCACACCGAAGGACCCACACCGCAAAGCCCTGCAGCACCCTGAGCGGCGGCCAGAAAGGCCGCGGTGCGACAGGTGCGTCCACACGGCGAAGCGGCACCCGACTCCGGACAACGACGCGGCAATCCGGGTTTCTCCCATGCGAACATCTGCTCACATCGCACTGTACAGAACGAGTTTACAAACCAAACCCAGCCCAGCCCACAAGACCCAGCACTCCCGTTCTATGTCTGCAGCTGGGCCAGCCGCGTCGGCCCTCCCCTTTGTCCCCAAGGAAGACCATCGCCCCCTCACTGTAAACGGCTGGTGACTATGGCCTGACCATGCTGCTTGGGACCCGCTGTGAACGCTGCTCCCTGCTCTGCCATGGGGCCTGCAAGGACCAGCGTGGTGGGCTCCAGCCGCCCCGTCCCGGGTCCGTGTGCACAAGGCAAAGGACGAGGACACGAACACTCCGCCGACGCCCCCTGTCGAGTCCTGCCTCGCGCTGGCTCTGGGAGCAGCAGCACTGAGGAACTGAAGCCCAGAGCCCCCGCGGACGCGGCTACGGGGCAGTCAGCGGCTCTGTGCCCTGGGGGCGCCGCCTCTGCCCCCACCCTCTGTGAGCGGAGGCTCGGGGTGGGGAGAGGGGCAGCAGGGCGAGAACCCCAACCACAGCGGCTCCCACAGCAGCTTCCCCTCACCAGCACGGCCCAGCACAGGAGCAGCTGCGGGGAAGGGCGTGCCTGGGCCCCCATCGGTCTCCACGCGCCCCCGTCAGTACGGCCCGGTTCATTTTCGAGGCTGTGCCTGAGCCACGTCCAGGAAGCCACCCGATTGTGGGACAGGTCTTTTTATCATGAGGTCGTTCTCACTTCAAATTCTTACAGCATAATCACAGTTTCCAGGTTAAATCTCAAAATAAATCTGTTGTCGTGAAAACAATTCTAACACGTGAGCCCTCACTGGGAGGGCACCTCTCCCATGGCCGCGAGCTCAGTCCAGGAGCTCACGCTGACTAGCATTTTAAACCAAGAACAGAAGAACTGAAATGTAGTAAGTTTTATAACTGTAGAGGCTGAAAAAGAGGAAATGCCAGCCAAGCACCAGGCCCTCCCCACTGCCCCCTCACAACGACCAAGGACCAGGTGAGCCCCAGGGTGGGCCGGTGTGAACGCATGTCCCAGCGTGTGGCACTGCTCAGATGTGCTGGCTAACGAGACCGCCGCTGCTGCCCGCCAGAAAAACCAGCTGTTAAAGCACTTAAAATCCGTAAGTGTGGCCTGTAAGTTAGGGATGCACAGCACATGGAAAACGAGGCCACAGTCGGGGCTGACGGCTGGCACCCAGAACCGCGGTGGGCGTGAGGCCTCACGAAGGCCGAGCTGGCGGGCAGGGCCCCGTCCCCCGCAGTCAGAGCTGCTGCCAATCCTTTCTGGAACCAGGCAGGTGACTTCCCAGGGGGACTGAGAGCCCGTTCTGGGGAGAAGAGACTCAGTCCCCATGCGACACAGCAGCCTGTGACGGGGCGAGGGGACAAGTCCAGGGTTCCCATCCTTTCCCAGGGTCCCTGTTCCCTCCACACGCACACAAAGCACTGCACTGGTCGGTGTGACAGCACGCTTCATCAAAGGGGAGAGACGGGGCGGCGTGGCCTCTGGTGGACATCTGCGAGACGGGGACACGGACCCGATGGCCGAGGGAGCCCAAGGCGGTGGGAGTGGGCCTGGCGGCCCCCGTGCCACGTCTGTCTTCACCCTCACGGACGCTGTCGTTAGCGACACGCATTTCACCACTGCAGTTAAAATCTGGCACACCGCTTTGAAGCGAGGGATAATCAAACCAATATTTCCAAAGCATAACTTGCCATCAAGTCACGGGACCGATTTATTCTAATAAAATGACTGCCCTTCACCATTAAGATGAAAACCAGCAACCTCGGTGGCCTTTGCCAGGGTGAATTCAGATGATTGACTGTGATGGTTTCACTGCTTTTTTTCAGCTTAAAATTACAAAAGGATGTTTACAAACCCAAAGATGGCAGACAGCGAGCACCCCTGTGTCCTGACAGTTGCCACCCCTGCACGCCCGCCTGTCACAGGCTGACGCCCCTGCACGCCCGCCTGTCCCACAGACGTCCCCGCACGCCTGCCTGTCCCATACTGACGCCCCCGAACGCGCGCCTGTCCCACGCTGACGCCCCTACATGCCCGCCTGTCCCACAGACGTCCCCGCACACCCGCCTGTCCCACGCTGACACTGCTGCGCACTCAGGGTTGGCTGGCAGAGCTCGCCTTCAACAGAGAGACCGAAGTCCCCCACTGTGGTCTATCACCTGCGGTCAACCATAGTCCAAAAATATTAAGTGGAAAATTTCAGAAAGGAACAATCTCTAAGTTTTAAATCACCTGCTGTGAGCACCTCGTGCCACCTCCTCACGCAGGCACGGCATCGTCATCGCAGGGCGAGCACAGTACGAGACACTTTGAGAAAAGCAGGCCCGTCACGTAACTGCTATTACAGTACACTGTTACGAATGTTCTCTTACTGTGCCTAATTTGCATGCTAGACTGTATCGCAGGTGGGTATGTGCAAGAACACACGTGGGACGTGTAAGAACACATGTGGGACGTGTAAGAACACACGTGGGACATGCAGAGCTCGGCACCACCACAGCTTCGCACACCGCCCGGGGTCTCGGGTAAGGGGGATGACTGCACTCAGGACACACACCCCCAACCTGGGGCACGGGCTCGCACGACAGTCAGCACCACGGCCACTGGCGTTTGCAGGGGAGGAAGCTGGCCTGGGTCACGCCCTCGCACAGGGTCCCCAGCGGCCTGGGGAGGAACCGAGTTCAGCCCACGGCCTGTGGCTCACCTGGAGAGCAGGTGCCAGCGGACAGTCTGCAAAACACACTGTCTGGAGACTTTGGGACCACAGTACTTTTGGGGCAGGTGGGGATGACGGCATCTGTGGGAGCTCTGGTGGGGCTGGGGAACTTCGACCAAACAGGCAGACGGGCAGGGGTCACTGAGGCCCACATAGGGTGCTCAGAGTTAGGGTTCCATTACTGTCAGTCTCGGGGTATAGCATAGCATTTGGGTTTCCAAAGGGTAGGAGCGTCCCACCAGCCTCTCCAACAATCCTCAAATTGCTGCGGGCACAGCAAGAGAAAGGACAGGGTGGCTTCAAGCATGGCCAGAGGGAAGGATGGACTGCAGGACAGGGCGTTCACGGGTACTTATGGCGTGAGCCTGGGGTAACACTTAGCAAGGCTGTGTGGACGGGGTGGCTTCAAGCATGGCCGGAGGGACAGGTTGGACTGCAGGACAAGGCGTTCACAGGTACTTATGGCATGAGCCTGGGGTAACACTTAGCAAGGCTGTGTGGACAGGCGCTGGGCACCCACTACCCCAAACACTGCAGTGGATGACGCCCTTCCTGCCCCCTCCGCCCACAAACTCCGGATGGAGCTCGGTCCATCTGGAGCAGGAGACGGACCAGAACCGCCACGTCGCTGGTGAGGCCTGTCCTCTGTGTGGCACGCTGCCCCACGGACGCTGGGCGTCTGGGCAGAGAGGAAGCCCTTTGGGGGTCTCCCACGTGCACTCACAGCACCGACAGGCACGGCAAGCGGGCTGGGAGGAGGAAGAGAAACACCCAGGCGGAGTTAACCTGGCTTGCTGCAGCCATGTCTGTGCTACCCACCACGCTGGAAACGGGGCGGCCACGGCCACGGGCCTGAGCCGTGGATGTCACGCACTTCTAATTAAGTTAAATTTAAATTGCCATGTGTGGCTGTGGCTACCACTGCAAATCTCAAAAAATTATAACTTTCGACGTAAAGGCTATTTCTGGCTTCACGAGAAAGAGGTGCCTGCTAATTTAAACGGACATATGAACAACCGGGACAAGCGAAGCCACTGCTGAGTCGAGACCTCGCCCTCCCGTTTGTTTGCGAAGGCGCCCGGCCGAGCTCTCTGCCCAAGGTGGCCATCCATCAAGAAGTGCCGCAGGAGGCACGGTGACAGCTCCATGCGGCGGCCAGTGCCCGCCGAGCAGCAGCGCTGCCTTTTCGAAACGGAATGCTGATGTTCCAGCAAGTGACCAAAGCACAACTCACCATGGACGAGGGGAGGGCACGGGGGCGGGGGGGGGCCTTAGCAAGTCTGGGTGAAATCAAGGGGGGATCTTTTGGAAAATGAGTCATTTATCGGACCCTGTAAAGCCCCGCCGCCCCACGTGAGCAACCCCGAGCAGTGATGCTGATGAGCTCTGCGAGCACCGCGCGGCATCTGCCGCCCGCAAACCAGCACACAAACCAACCGCGACCACTTCCTGCCGTGGGGAAACGAACTGGCTGAAAGCCAATGAACGCGTATTTAAAATAAAACCTTATTTGTGAAGGAACACCACATTAACTAGAAAATGAGGTAATCATACACAAGACTCAAGGTTTTTTCTAAGTCTGAGATCGCAGACTTTGAAATGCAGCCTCTCAAAGGTGCGTTTCCAAACGCCGGTCCACTGCCCGCCTCTCAGGATGCTCGCCCCCAAGGGAGGGAGGGCGCGGCCGCCTGTCCAGGACCACGGTGCCGCCTGCCCTGCTGGCATGGCTCCTCCCCCTCCCTCTGCAGCACCTGCCACGGGAGCGCCCTCCCTGGCACTGCCTCTGCCCCCTGCCCGAAAAACAGGCCATGGCCCTCGTCTCCCCGTGCAACTGCTGTGCCCACCTTGCCACTGCCCCACCTTACTCCCAAGGTCAGGCCCCCCCAAATCCGACTTGCACCCCATACGAGCTCCGTCTGACCCTCGGCAGGCCCTTCGTGCTGACCCGCTGCCTGAGCAGGCGCCACCTGCGTCTGCCACCTGGGGGTCTCCGGCCCACGAAGGGGCTGAGCGGGCTGCTCAGGGCCCCGCGGTGGTCCTGGTGGGGGTGCTAGCGTGCACCCGCACGAATGTGGTTTCATGGTCACTGGGTGAGAAACAGGCTTCCAATTCACATCCCGAAGAGCCTCGGACGTGACAGGCTCAGTGAACGGGCTGGTTTCAATTTCCTTTCCGAACTCTTCCTGGACCTGTGACTTCGGCAGGATCGTTAACTTGAAAAAATTACGTTATCTAAAACGCGTCCTGAAGCCCGTCGGTACGTGAATGAGTACGTGATGACTCAAAAGGGTGTAATTCAAGACTCTGATCTCTCCCCATTTTTTATAACGCCCCCCCATATGGTAATAGCACATATGCGAATTTCTAAGTACTCCTCACGTACGTGCCTTTATAAACTCACGCACTGCTTAGAAACTTAACCTACTGCCATCACGTGCCCGCGTCAGTAAACGCACTTCAGACACCAATTAAATAAAACCATGCCCAACGCGTCAGCTCCTCCTCCCAACACACCCATCAATGGGACCAAGCAAACAGCAGTGCAGAAGCTGAGCCAGTGCGCGTGGGGGTCTGGGGTTTAGCATAGGGGGCCCCGTAGGTCAGCAGGACACCATGGGTGATGTAGCGAATTGTGCTGTGTCTAGCTATATGCTTCTCAAGCTGGAGTAAACGACAAGTGGGCCAATTAAAGTGGACAAAGAGAAAAAACGTTGGGATGCTGGTGAGAAAAAGCTAACACGGACTAGCAGAGCCAGGGACAGAGAGCCAGGGAAAATGAGCCGCAAGGTGGTTTGCGGGGGCAGGCGTGTGTGTGCACAGTGCCATGGAACCCACGACGTCACTCAGCCTCAGTTATAACTAAAACGTGTACGTTAGACCGAACAGATACCGTTTTCCACTAACCAGACCGACAAGCATTAAAGGCTGCTGCTAAGTGAATGGGAGGGCGCGGGGAAAGTCGTTTTCACACCCCCGTGGAGGTGAACAAAAGCTAACTTAGTGGCATCTGAAATCAAAAGGCAACGCAGGTCAGCATTCCGCCCCTGAAGGGCGTGCACAGGCCTGGGAAGCGGCATTGCTGAGCAGCCCGGTTACCACAGCAACCTAGGCACCCTGCACTTCCGCCAGCAGGGGACAGGTGACCAAGTCACGGCACACGCAGACCGGCTCCATCTAAGGGCTGACGTCTGAAAGGACTGATGGTCACACACCCAGTGAGTGTCTGACTCCACGGACCACGCTGAGCGGGGGACCCCACTGTGAGCGAGCACCTGAGATGCCAGCGTGACGCACAGGGTGCGGTCCCACCACTGAGGCCATAGTCCACCCTGGACACATCCACACAGGAACGGATGCGGCGGGTGCACACGTGGAACGTTATTCGCTTTACAAAGGAAGGACGGCCTTCGAAGTGAGACGAGCCGGCCAGGAGGATGAACACTGCGTGCCCTCCTGTACCTCGGGGACCTAGCGTCAGCCATCGACAGAGCAGAGGGGCTGGGGAGGGCTGGGTGTTCAGTGAGGGGAGTGTCACTTTGGGAACGTGAAGCGGTCTGGGGGTGGATGGTGGTGACGGCCCTGTGTGCTTAAGGAAGGTGAAAAGCGCGTCTGTGATACACGAATAAAAAACAGTACAACACTGGCACTTCCCTAGGAGTGGAAAGAACGGAACACGCAGCAGGAAGCGGTCTGCCCGTCATCTCATGCCGCCCCGACACCTGGCCTTTCTGCAATCGCACAAGCACGGCGTCTTACAAAGCAAAGCGAAGGTGGACGCCCTCTCTAAGGCAGGCCCGCTCTGGGACCAGCAGGCTCGCCAGGCTCCCAGCCAGGCTTCTCAACACTCCCCACGCCGCCTGCCTGCGTCTGCTGGGACGGGCCTGGGGTGCCGCCTGCCTTCTCGCGCTGGGCCAATCCCCTCTTTTCCTCACCCTAGGCGTGAGGGAGCGCCAAGTCTCAATCCCTCCAGACGCCAAAATTCTGCACCGGTGACGTGGGGTCAGGATGTGCCAGTGCCCACGGAACTCATTTATGACAACCGCCAACTCAAGTGTTTCTGTTCCAGAGCAATTAAGGACATCTGTCGCCATCTGCTACCAGCACCACGCTTCGGGGGGGATTGTGCAGCGGCCACCATCTCCCCCACCAGACCCTTGGGAACAGGGATCCGGCGATCGAAACTGGAAGCGTGAGCAGTTATTTCCATGTGTCACTCAGAACACACCCTGACAGGGAAGGTGGGCGACGCCGTGCAAGAAGGTGACGGGAAAAGCAGCCACCTTGTGCTTACAAGGACGAATTCCAGTGGCTGTGACGAGGTGACACCCAGACTGGGAAACTGTGGATTACTGACGAATGATTGTGGCTATGACTGAATTTTCATTAAAACACAACTGGAAAGTATAGATGCAGCCACGTAACATAATCAGTTAAAGCATCTACGTATGCAGATGTCCTTTAATGAAGCCCTTCACTGCATAAACGACATCGAAACAGTAACAGAAACGAACACAGCCCACGCCCCGCTCCCCGCAGCAGCCCGGCTTTCTCGGGCTCCCCAACCACAGAGGAGACGTTTGCCTCCCCCGCCCCCACACCGCACCTCACAGGCGTGTCAGTAGCCACCTCTGCTGCGCAGAGGCCTCTCCCGAGCTAGGGAGCGACTGCAGGTGTTTTCGTGGCTGCAGAGAGGCCAATGCGGGTCGCCTGGGTGACACAGCGGTGCGGTGTCCTGTGGGCTGGCACTCAAGCAGGACCTGGAGCAGCAATCAGGGCCCACGGCGCCACTCACAGTGGACATGAGCTGCCCACACGGACGCTCACTGCTCTTCCCGGCGGGTGTCCAGCTATTATTTTTGAGGACTCCTGCCAGATTTGAGAATCTCGGACTGACTCTGGAGGTGAGAGCTAACTCGGCCTAGAGCAGAATGCTGAAAATCTGAGCCCCACGGAGCACCACGCGACGGGGCTACACGCTGCACAATCAGCGTAGAAGAACAGCCCCAGGCTCTGAGAGATGGCATTGTAACTACAGTACGAAAGCATGGGGCCCGTGCTGGCCGAGGGCACGAGACAGCTGCACAGGACACTGGGGACAGCTGGAGAAATGGCACGGGCACTGCTCCAAGCAGCCCTGACGGGCGGCCTGTTCTGACCCCATCTAAAGGGAGGGGATGGCCAGAGGGACTGTCCACTCACACAGCTTAGGAACGAGCCGAGAGGACCCGTCCCCTCTTGAGGGGAGGTGATGGGGACCACGCTGCCGTGTTTCCAGTGAAAGCACGTGGCCCCGCGTGAGACTGCCATGAGTGTGAGCTCGACGACGGGGCCTGCGTGTCTCCCACAGGCCCTGCGAGGGAGCCCAGTGCGGGGCCTGCCAGCCCGGGGCCCAGAGGCCTGCGTCTCCAAAGCACCCAGGACTTGGGGCGGGGGAGTGTGCCAGAGCCCCCAACCCTAGCTGCAGGGCCTCTGGCATCCCTCCCAGGCGGGCGACTCCAAGCGGAGGAGGGCTCTGCCGACAGCCCGGCTCAGGCCATACGGCATCCACCACCGTGTCCCCTCCCTGCTGCCCGCCTGCGTGAGCCCACCTCTGCGCTGAAAGGTGCCTCCTCGACTTTCCCGGCGTCTGCCTCGGGCAGAGGGTTTTTTAAGGTCTGTAAGAATAAAGCCGCTTTCCTTTTACGCTCTGCTTGAAGCTGCTTCTCCTTGGACTCCTTCGACGCCTGGGCCAGCTTTTCCCTGGCGGCAGCTGCCAGTCGGTCCTCCAGCTTTTGCTTTGCTTAAGGAATAAACAAAGTAAAAAGTGACGTTTACAGCAAGTAATGTTTTGTAAATATATTGCTACCTTAATTTTCATAGGCAGTAATAGGATCACGAAAAACGAAATGATTTTAAAAGATGAACAAAATATAAATTTCAGAACAAACAAAATGGGCAAAACGAATTTTGAGAGTTGCTTATAACGCTCATTATTAGTACTTTTACGTTTCACTTTCAAAGTCAAAGTCAGAAAGTCGCTGGGCTTCCTCCCCCCCTAGTGGAAGCTGGGGCACCGGAAGCCTGGGAATGGCTGTCAGAAACAGGCACCGGACATCCCTCCCAGGCGGGCGCTCCGGGCGTGTCCTACTGCAATGGCCTGACACGCCCGCTGCTGGCTGCGCCCAGCGAGTGCAGGCCCAGACGCGCGCGGTGAGCATAGCTCACTTTTGGGGCGGGAGGTGGGGGCGGCAACCGCAGCACAAGGCCAGGTCTCGACAGGAAGGCATCCTGTGGTTAAAGATCGGCCTTTGTAAACGCTGCCTGCTCTGCTGATGTCTACACAGAAAAGGCCACTTACGAAAACCAGTCAGAATAAAGATGAGGAACGTACTCGGCAGTGAGCTCCTCAGAGTGGGGTGTGCGCTGTTTTAGAGTGGGGGGGCTGTGGGACGGCCCACACGCACCGCTGGCCGTGGGCAGAGGGGCGGTGGCCACGTCGTGACCCACGAGGATGAGCCCAGCAGCCTTGCACGGGGCGTCGCCACGGCCGCCTACCACACAAGGCCACCACCCACGCACGGAGAGCCCGCCCTCAGGCACTGGCATCCACTGCTCTTGAGCGCTGGGGACCCACAGCTCTGCCCCTCTAGGGCCCTGCAGGGAGAGGCGCACGGCTCCCACCCGGCTCTGACACCGGAGGCTGGCCGGCAGTCACAGTGTCGCTGGCCGAGGGGTGGCCGTCATCGGCACGTTCCCTGCAGGGGCCGAGTGCCGGACAGACCTTGCTTCGCCTCCAGCTCCTCCGGGGTCAGCTGCGGCCGCTTCTCCTCCACCACCACGCAGGGCGGGGCCTCGGCTGGGGCGGTGCTGGGCGTCCCACTGGGGCCCTCCCGGCCCTCCCGGCCCTCCTCGTCGTCATCGCTGTCGTCGTCCAGCTTGACTCGGTTTTTCTCCAGGGGAAGCAGGTCGTTTTCTTTGGCCTTGATGGCAAAGCTTATGGGAGCAAACGACGCTGTTGAGAGAGAAGGAAGACGGTGACGCGCTGCAGTGACGGGGCCCCCGCCTCCCGAGCGTCACGCAGAGGGAGGCGCAGCCTGGCGGGTGGACCTCGGGTGAGGCGGGACCGAGGCACAAGCCGGGCAGGTGGCCATCCTCTGGGCTCGGCACAGCGGAGTCTGCACACGCTGGCACATGATGCGACTCCACGACAAAAAGTTACTTATAAAAAACCTCAACTCACCTTTTCTCACAAAGTTACAGCATCTGTCCTTTACTTGGCAGACACCTGGCGCGGTGCTGCCCGCCTCGTGCTGGGCACTGCCACTGTTCCCCACACCTGTGAGACCTTTGCAGGCTGTGCCCCACCTCGTCATCCAGCCACTTGGGCGGCGTGTCACCTCTGAACAAGCCTTGCCCTCAGACCCGAGGCCTCAGCTTGGGGTCGCAGCCCTGTCTCTGGGACTCCCATTCGACGCGACACCCGCTTAAACAGCAGCTCCTTGGTCCTGCCGGGGGCGCTGCCTGCTGCCCGTGAGTCCAAACACGCGGCCCTCTGCTAACGTGCCTGCCTCAGCTCTCGTTTCTCTGTTGGCTTCTGCCACGTCCGTCCGTCCGTCCGTTCGTCCGTCCTGGCTGAGCTAAAACTCCTTCCGCGAACGTAACAGGTAACAAAATGGAGCGAGTGGGTCCTGACTGGTGGAGGAGCTCAGGGACTCGCTTGGGCAGATCAAACGGCCTTCAGCGGCACGGCAGCGCACGCGTAAACGCGTCCAGAGGTCAGAGGGATGCGAAGCGCTGCTTGAAGCACTCGCTGCGTTTCCCCCACACTGCCAGAAGAGGCCGGTCGATAAACGCACAGCTATGAGGAGCTCACCTCCAGACGGCCTCGGATCCCAAGGCAGGGCGTGCTAGCAGCCCGGGCGCCCCGCCCCCCCGTGCCCCCTGCAGGCCGTTGCCAAGGCCGACCGGCCACGCACCTTTTACCAGCTTCCCGTCCAGGACGGCTTTGCTGGACGGCGCCTCCTTCTTCGCCCCTGAGCCGCCTCTTCCTCCCGCGTCGGCCGCGTCCTCCGCCCCACCGTCCTCCCCAGCGTCACTCGGCTTTTCAGGAGCAGACTCTGCAGGAGCGTCTTCTGGTGTGGACACAGCCTGCAGGGACGGAACGTGACCATGAACTGTCCCGCAAGGAAACACGTGGCCGTCAGAAAAAGACACCCCCAGCACTGCAGCCCTGCCGCCTCGGTCACACGCACGGCCGGCTTTTCCGTCCGCGTCACTGGTCCCTGACACCGCAGAGTGGACGGGGGCGGGCAGAGCGGCTTCCCCCTGGAAGCACATCGAGCGCCCCACAGCCCTGCACTGTGGGAACCAGTGCCCACTGGCCATCCTTCGGAGGTCGATGAATGAGCAGACCTTGGACCAAATTACGCACCTCGCCTGAGAATGGCTCGGTTTTCTTCCATTTGAACAGAGACGGAAATGTGCAGAAACCCACTGACAAGCAAGGCCCCTCTCTGCCTTGCCATCGCTACCGAGACAAGTTTAAAAGCGTCAGGGGTCCACGTGACTGTGGACAGGCGAGGGGAGGCAGAAGGGGACAGGGCAGGAACAGACGCTCCCTACAGGCACGTGGACCATGTGTGGGTGGGACGCCCGCAAGGAGAAGAGCAGAGGGAGCGGCCGGCAGGCAGTGCCGGGGGACAAAGGCACCCGCCGTGGACAGCAGCCGTGCGAGCACCCCACAGACACTGATGTGTGTTCACACAGCAGCGTGGTGTGCGGCTACCAGCAAAAGCGGCTAACACAGCTGACCCAAACGTCGGTGCCTGCAAAGACGAGTTTTTCTTAGAACACGGACAAATGATCGTCAACGAACTACGAAAACGGGTGACAGTTCTCAGCAGATTTAAAGAGTTCCATTCTGAGAGAAGGGAAAAGTTGAAGGCGGCACAGGCTAGGGTGCGTCGCACCTGAAAGCAGGCATAAAACCAGCAGCCCTTTACGCCAAGAGCGGGCGGTCCCCTCCGTGCCCAGAGTGGGGAGGGGACTACGCCCCTGTGCACAGGTACCTGCGCGCTGTCGCCTCCCTCCTTCTGCACGAAGAACTGCTTCTTGAACTCGTAGTAGGCGTTGTACTGGTGCCACGGCTGCAGGAACTCGAACCTGGGGACACGAAAGGTGGACAAGGCATCAACAGGACAGCGCGCGGGTGGCAGAGGCGGCCCTTGCTGACCAGACACTGCTCTGTATGCTGCACAGCGACTGCAGAATGACCACGACAGCTCCTCGCGGGAGCGAGGGTGAACCACGCCCCCGTGACACAGATGGAACCGCAGACGCCACCCTACGTCCTCGTTTTACTCCCCGAGGCACAGAACGTTACGTGGTTCAAAAACAACAGAAAGAAGATGTGTCTAAATTTCCACAGCAGGTTGCTGAAGAGCACAAACCCTGGCCTTTTATTTCAAGTAGCTTCAACACTGTTACTTAAAAAATCAAAACAAACTGAAACAAACTAAACGAACAAAAAACAGGGAATGCAATAAAAAACCCACTCCGACTCTAAGTAATTTAACCAAGTAATCACAAGACGTGTTTATCTGAACACATGAGAATTAAAAATGTTAAAAAGAATCGTGTGTCTAGATTTAAAAAAAAAAAGCAGCTGAGCGTAACCTCCAACAGCACCTACGTAAGCTACATAAAATTCGCCTCACCTTTGATCATTCTTGGCACGAACGCTGGTCTCAAACTTGAGGCCGTTCCTAGCCACGTACTCGGCCAGCTTGTCGATGACGGGCTGGATGTCAGGGGGCGGAGGGATGATGGCGGCCACGGGAGCAAGTGCACTGCAGACAAGAGCCCCGTCACTCACGGTCAGACCGCCTCCGTGACATCGCCCGCACGTGCTCGGCTCACAGCACGCAGGAGCTGCTTATCCGAGGGTGGCTTGTCCCACAGAACATGCACGAACCCGGTGAAAGCGGACAAAACGTCACTGTCGACGGTGACAGCGGGGCTGCACCGAAAAGGACACCGAAGCCATACAGACGGGTCCTGTCCTTGACACTTTCTTGCAGCCCGCACTGTTCTCAGAAGCGACCGAGAACAAGCGTGGGTTTTGTTAAAGAGACAGCGGCTGGCTCGGCTCAGCACCCTTCCCTGCGCGTCTGCCTGTCCTGGCGGGATCAGGAAGTGGTCACTTCCGTGGAACACCCGAGAGTTTCGTCAGGTCTCCAGGGGGCTCCTTCCCAGCCCGTGCTCCCCAGTGCCTCCCACTACGTGCCGGGGACACGGGTGCTCCTCGGTCCGCGGCACAGGGCTATGACGCACGCCCCATGACGGTCACCGCCCTGCCATCTCTGTTATCCCTCCACCTGCCAACGGCTTTGAGAGTCACTTCCGTCAGCGGCATGGAACCTGCGGCCTCACTCCCTCCCCGGGGCTGGTGACGTGGGGGCCCCTGCGGGCTCTCCTCCAAGTGCTCAGGCTGCACTGAGGCCCGTTTGCCACGACAGCCTCTGCCGCCCCGGCCACCCTGCACCCTCGGGACGTGCTCGGAGAACGGACCCCCCTTGTGACCCAGGGGGCCTGCGGGAGGGGAGCGCACCTTGTGGTGATGGTGGTGGTGGCGGTCACCCCACTACTCGTCTCCGCCGTGGTTGGGGGTGGTGGCGGCGTGGTCCCGGGGGGCGGCGGGGCGGTGGCCGCCACTCCACTGGTGCTGGACACGGCCACCCCGGCCGGCAGGGTGCTGTAGTAGGTGGCTACGTCGACGCCCGGCGGGGGCGGTGCCAGGCAGTAGGTGCCGTCCGGCAGCATGTAGTAGCTGTAGTACATGGCCGCCACCGTCGCTGTGGAAAGACACGGTTTGCCGAGTGAGGGGGCAAAGGACAGGCTGCTTGGCGAGGGTCCAGGACGCAGGAAGAAAGGGACCCCTTCCAAATGCAAGGTCGCCTCCGGCCACTTTCGACCACATCGTTTTCTGTATTTTTCTGATACGAGAAAGGCTGCCCAGTGACACGCATCGGGAGAACCAGGCGGCACCCACACGGCCAGACAGCCGCCCAGCAGGGGCCTTCCGAGACAAGCCTTGTTCCCCCCAGCTTCAGGGGCGCAGCAATGAGAGCCGTCTCCCTGAGCGGCCAAGGCAACCCGCAGTGTGAGCAGGCGCGGCGGACCCCCTGCTGGTCTCCTCGCCGACACGGGCCCTCCTGCCATCCTCTCGGGCCCTTGCTTTCCCCGGGAGGCTTTCACGGTGGGCTGGCCGCATCCGCGACAAGGGGCGGTGCTCTCTAGTCACTGCCCCCTCCCCGCCCCCCGCCAGCTGTAACTGCTGTAGGGGGTTCCGCGGGTCGAGGGTGTTTGGGGCTCCGCTATCACGTACTGTACAGTAGCTTCCTAGACGCTCTGGGCACACGCGCAAATATCTGTAGGACGGCCGCCCACTGTTTCAACAACGAAAGGCCCTGTACGTTTATTCATTTTGGGGGGTGGAGAGACATTCAAAACCAGTAAAACCACAGAAAATTCAATGATCTCATTAAGAATTTTAATTTCTAGTCCTGTTGCAGTTAGGTCATTAGTTCTAATTATATAAACAATTTGCTCATCATTAGGGATAGGGAGATTTTTGTAATTTAGAAATTTTATTTTGATTTTCAATTCACTTTAAAACAAAAACATTCACGAATAGTGAAAGCTTTATATCCACCAGAGTCTCCAGCACCGTATGCTCCACAGGAAAAACGCCAGCGGCCTCCGGCATCAGGTCCCGAGGCCGGCGTGCCCACGCGTGCTGCGGGCGCCCCGCCGCGGTTAGCGACTCCGTGTTTATCAGTTACATGCGGACGGACCCCCGAGTCGCTGCTCCTACCTGACGGTGCACACCAACCACAGCCACACGTTAGCACCCCACATTTCTACACCAAGAGATGTGGCCCCAATATTCTCCCCCGTAACCTTCAGCACAGAAACATTCAAGTGACACATCTGAGGAAGTGGGGAGAGCGCGATGAGACTGCCTGACGTGGGCGCAGAGCAGGGCCTGATGCTGGGGGCGGGGAGGTGTTGGCTCCATAACCCAGCGCTCAGCACACGGCATCTGTCAGATGGACAGACAAATACGGTAGCTCAAACGTAACCTTTCCTAACCAATGAGGGGTCCGAATACATCACATGCTGCTATAAGACACAACAATGCCCCTGACAGAATGACACCCCCAGGTCACCAGACTACTCAGGTCCTTCTTCACCCCCTGGGCAGAGTGCCACTGAGGGGAAAATGACGTGGCATCAGTGACACCAGAGCATAAGCCCAGCCTCCCACAGGGAACGCCCGGCGCAGCCCCAAGTCTCTGGGTGGCAAGACAGCTACTGCCCACTCCACAGTGTCAGCTCTCAACGAAAGACCCTGTGTCCTGTCCTGGATGGTCGGGCTCTTGCCTACGAAAAGCCAAAACACACTGTAAATTGTAGCCACGACCAATGAGACATGAATTCATACAAGCAAATGTACAATTAAGTTTTAACTTGCAGTACATGTTATGCAATTGCAACTTAATCCATTCTTTATGTGACAAACAGATTGTTCTCGAATTCGGCAAGGAAACTGCAGAGTTTAGTGAGGTGACCATGTGCCTAATTTGCTGGCACTTGAGGGCACGAGGACCTGGTGCCAGTGCTGCCTCCTTTGGGTGCCCCTATGGCAGATGGCACCTCCCGCAGTGTCTTCTGCCCGCCCTGAACTCCTTAGGCTGTACCTCCTTGTACCACCCCCACCCAGGGAGGCCCCTGCTCGGCTTTCCTGTGCACCTGCCACCTCAAGGCTGCTGGCACAGGTGAGGACCCGAGAGATCAAGGCGGTAACAGCAGGGACAGGCCGCCCGCAGCTCGGGGTGCACAGCAGGCACTTGACAAGCATGTGCCGAGTGGGGCCGGCTGATCCATGGTGAGCGGGAAGCCTGGGTTCCCGGCGCCCGCCACCACAGGGTCGTGAGCTGAAAGCAGGCACTTGACAAGCATGTGCCGAGTGGGGCTGGGCTGATCCATGGTGAGCGGGAAGCCTGAGTTCCCGGCGCCCGCCACCACAGGGTCGTGAGCTGAGACGCCTTCGAGCGAGCGCCGGCTCGGGGATTCTCACCGCCAATGACCGTTGCGCCTCACTGACCAGGCCACGGGAAGAACGCACAGGGCTGGTGCGCTGATCCCCGGGCCCTGAGCGTCAAAGGGCGCCCACTGGTCGGGCAGCGCAGGGCTCCCAGGACACCGCGCTCCTCACTGGGTTCGCTGCTGTCCAGCGTTTGCTCCTGGAGTTTCCAAGAGGGGACTGGGCTTCACGGAACATCAAGCGCTGATGTGACTTAACTAACGAACAAACATCAGCGCACCACGATCACCTACTGCCAGGGATTTCGATGGGCACCGACTTTTCCTAAGGGCAAGTGCGGGAAAATCTGCTGCCTCAGGCGGAAGGCGCGTCCTTAAGTGGCCTCAGAGATGTCACCCACAAGCGACCGCCCACCCACAAGCCGAGGGCTCTGCCTGATTGCCCCCCACCAGCCTCTAGCTGGCTGGCTTCTGGCCACAACCAGAGCCACTCACTATGGTTCCACGTGAGCTTCATCTCAGCACCTCTTAGAATGGAGCCTGAGCACCGAAGGGCTTCTTGGGGATCGGAGGCCGGAGTGTGACCCCACCATGGAGGAGCCCGTACAGGGAAGGTGCACGACCCGTCTGTGTACAGACGGAAGGAGCTTCACCGAGGTCGAGACCACACTGGTATCGCACCGTGGCACCAGCTGGGCAGGCTCCCACCTGCCCCCTGCCGCCTGCTGCTACAGCACCCCACCCCGCTCCTGGCCAGCGGTCACCTGCACTGGACCACCAGTCTCCGGCGACGCGCAGCACTGCTCTCTGAGTTCCCGACTTTAGACCGCACGTGCACGTGGCCGGTGTCTGCTTGCTGTCTTGGGCGTCCCAGGACGGAAGGGACTTTGCTCGCTGCTGTTCCCACACGGCCCGGCCACGACGCCGACGCGAAAGCATAGGTCGCACGCGGACGAATGAGACTGACATGCCTGAGGCTCCTCAGCGGCAGCAAAGGCAGCTACGACGTGGTGGCCCAGAACCTTCCGAATCTTAGGGACAATATTCAACCACAATTCTAGCCCCTCCAAACTACCCACCAAATGGAAGAACAGAATTCGGGCATTTTCGGACAAGCCAGGAGTTTTTAAAAAATGTCTTCCCGGGTACCCTTCGTTAGCGAGCTACTAGAAGATGTGCTCCAGCATATAAACAGGTGTAAACAAGCAAGCCAGGAGACACGGGCACTGACACGGACGGGGAAGCCCTGACGAGAAGTCACGGGAAAACGCAGCCACTCCCAGCGGCAGCAGGGCCGCCACCTGCAAACCGTGCCACGGCCACCGCCAGAGGTAAGGGCGGGGCAGCCGCGGCCAAGGCTTGCTCAGAGACGGCCACACTGCAGGCTCCCCGCTGGGCACAGAAGCAGCTCTGCCTGGGGCTGCCGGGGACAGCGCCAGCTGGACGCCTGTCACGCAGGCTGTAAAGCGCGGCCGGGACTGGAGGATGAGCACGCTCAGTCAGTCAGCCCGTCCTGTCCTGTGCCCTCCTGAATTCTGATTACAAAATAAAAGTGTGAGTATATTAGTTAAAATCACAAAGTAACCAAAACAGAAACTTAACATGTAACATGGGTAAACTGGGGGAGTGAGACGGGGTTTAACGGGGGCACAAGTGAGCTGAACTGTCATCTGTCGTAGTAGGAAGATGTCGTGGAAAATGAGCAGCTGACAAATCCAGAAACTGGTATTCAGAGGTGTGAAGGCAATCATCAAAAACTCAAAAACAAAAGTTAAAAATAAACACTTGAAATAGTATCTCTGAATTACCTTAAAACAATACTTTATCCTAATTATCATCAGAGATGAGGAGCGTCTTCTATTTATCCCATTCTGGCTCAGGGCACGGAGTTTATTCATGTCACTTGGTCTGTCTGCCCGTCCGCCTCATACGCCAAGGACAGACCCACAGTCAAACAACCCAAACTCCTTAAAATGCCAGGTCTGCAGCTGCTACGAGCAAGAACACTGCTCCCCCCAACCCCAGTCCGTACCCACAAATCCGCTGGGCTCACCACACGCGGTCTAAGCATGCTCACAGTGAGGGAGAAACCCCGAGACCGTGAAGCACAGTGACCGGCGGCTCTGCTGACGGGCCTCGGCCGAGGCACATGACAAGATAGGGCTTCGCCCGTGGGTCACCATGGCCACCCTGTCCGACTCACCTCCTACGCCCCCACACCCCAGTGTGAATGAGAAAGTCCCACACAACAGAAGGCTCATTTTGCTCCCAGCACATGGGGGCAGGGAGAGCGGCCTGGTTCTCAGTGACACAAGGACAGCACATCTGTAAAGCTGGAAAGCCACCTGACCACATGCCACTCAAGATTGTGGCCGGTGTTTAAAAGGGATCTCTCTGTAGCAAACAAACTTTCCTCGAGAAGAGCCTGCCCCTCGCCACGGCTTACAGACTTCGCCAGTGACCCTCATGCATAAAAGTTTGAACTTTTAATGCTAGGGTTTTGGGGGCTTGTCACATGGGTGACCAAAGCCGAGGCGTAAGCACGTGCCCAGCACCTCACCGTCGGGAGAAGCAGAGCTGCGGAGGCGCCGGGAGGGGCCTGGCAGGCGGGGCGGGGAAGTGGGCCTCGACCTCGCTGGAGGGCTGCCACGGGGCTCTGTCCCTGGCTGTGGAAGGGCGCCTGCTCTTTCTGGAGCCTGGAGCCTCGGAGGAGGGCAGAGGCCAGGTTTTCCGGAGCAGGCTGTGT